ACCCCTCACTTCAAGAAACACCGGTGGCAGCAGGTGGGATAAGTCCACCACCAGTATATTACATCTGTCTCTCTCTCTCTCTCTGCCTGTGTCTCTCTCTCTCTCTTTCTGTCTCTGTCTGTCTCTCTCTCTCTCTCTCTATCTCTCCACCAATATATTACATCTGTCTCTCTCTCTGTATCTGTCTGTCTCTGTCTCTGTCTCTGTCTCTCTCTCTCTCTCTCTGCCTCTGTCTGTCTGTCTCTCTCTCTCTGTCTTTCCCTCTGTCTCTGTCTGTCTGTCTGTTTGTCTCTCCCTCTGTCTGTTTGTCTGTCTGTCTCTGTCTCTCTCACTAGCATTCTCTCCTGAGTACACACCCTCACTCACTCGCTTATGTAAGCATACTACATGGTAAAGCTGAACTGTTTCCTGAATATTGTGTTAATATGATAAACAAAATGAGCATTACCTATAACATAACATGTTTCCAAGCTTTTTTTTTTACTTTGAATTTGGTTTTAAAGCACACTAAAACAAACTCTGATAGAAAATATATTCATACAAGTTCCACTTTATTATTCACACAAGTTCCACTCCCAAGAGCTTTGATGATAAAGCAAATTAATAAACGATAAAACTATGATAAAAAAAAACATGGACATTGTTATCAACAAAAAAATATTCACAACAAATCTATAAAAATGACACACTGAGAAGTTACAAATTTGTACTGTCAGCCCATTAAAGTGGCAAGTATCATGCTAAGAACAAGACCAATTTTGAAGAAAATATGGTAATTTGTGTTTTATCATTTTAAAAATTTATTAATTTCAATCTTCATGTACAATAAAGATCATATCTCTCTCTCTCTCTCTCTCTCTCTCTCTCTTTCTCTCTCTCACTTTTCACTATCTTATCAACCCTGCATGCACACATTCACACTCACATTCACACTTTGCACTCACACACTCACTCACACTCACTCACACTCACTCTCACTCTCACTCTCACACTCACATGCAAACACACACACACACTCTCTTGAATTACAAATAATGCAAAATATATTGTATCTATTTCACAAATTTTCCTGAAATCCAGAAACAAACAGGAATCCACAGAAACAAGTCAAGTCTGAATACATAATAAAAAGACAAAACCATTATCAATTACAGAATACTTTCAGGTAATTGTAATAATTCCATTAGTTCCTTGAGTCTTGAGGCTTTTTTCTTTATCATTTTATCATTTGTGAAACCTTAACATACAGTCCTATTTCACACATAAAAAATATGGTTAATAATAATATTTTCTTTTATTCAATCAAAATATTATTCTCTGTTTTGACTGACAACAGTCAAAGTTCTTAGTCAAGATTATAATTATCACTATTGATAATACAGAGAAAAATGGAAATAAAAGAAAAAAAAACAAAAAAAAACATCATAAACTATTGATTATGTTCCTAATTAAGTGATACATTCTAGAAAACCTAATGACAATGACATAAAATAACATATAAAAATAAAAGATACTGAAATCCACCATGAACTTCTACAATAACATACTTTTTCTGTTAATTTGTATCCACTGTAAAACAGGCATGAAACATCTAAAGAATTACACAGCTGTTCCACGTTCTAGATTCTGCTTGATTTCCTCAGTGTAGTCACCATAGAATCTCTCCAGCTTCTTGTTGAACTTCATGTTACGCTCATTGATAAAGTTGATGTCAGCATCATCATCGTAGATACGGCGGCGTGAGTATTTCTCTCGCTTAGAGATCCTGGAATGAAAGGAAATCAAATAAACATAGATATGTTCTAATCTTTATCTTAACCCACTGCCGCCGGGGAAAATGAATAAAAAATGGGGAAAATGCTGTGCTCATTTTTTATATTTTTTTGTGAAATGTTTCTACACATAGATGGCTCTGCTAGTGCTTTGCCTTACCTGATTTCACCTTTCCTTGAATTAGCGGGAAAATGTATTTTTTACAAGTGCTATGAATATTAATAGTGTTATTTTTATTATAAACATTATAATTACTATGTTATAAACATTAGTAATAGCAAAATAAGAAAACAAAATATTTTTGTAAATCAACAAAAAGGGTAAATGGGTGAGACAGGCAGTACTCAAAATTGGCTCATTGGTGACTTAGTACAAGTGTAGCCATCTATGTGTAAAAACAAACAAGTAATCTCACAGTGGGCATGGCATGGCATGCCCATCAGCAATGGGTAATCAAGTTATCTATATATATATATAGCATATCTGTTATATATACATGTAACTGGTTTACTTAGTGTTTTGAATGCTAATGGCAAGGTCAACATGAAAAAATATTGGCATTTTGCAAAAATTTTAGGAAGGGTTTACACAAATAAAACATTTGCTGACTGTATTTTTCTTCAAAAAACATAAACTAGCAAAAGAGTTGTATCACAGAAAGTGAATTAAAGTGATCTGTGAAGCCCAAACTCATCAAGATTTTTCACCCTTCATTTTCTTTTCATTTTTCTTTCCTGGTAGCTAGCTATGTCACAAGTAAGAAACACTTTTAATACTATCAGTTTCTCTGTTTGCTGTTATTGGCCACCATCAACTTAATCCATCTGTTAACTTTTTCCACAGAGCAACTTCTGACAAATAATATGTGTAATGCAATGCTTAATACACTGACACAATTGTGAGATAATCCACATATATTAATCCAATCGGCACAGACGATAAGAATACATCCCATGCCCACTGTAACACAAGTCTATTTATTGTATTTACACATAGACGACTCTACAAGTGCTTAGTCATAAAGGAGTTAGTTATTAGTCCTACCTATCTCATGTGTTTATCCTTTACTTTGATTTTTGAGTTTTTGTACAATTTCATTGTATTTAATGTTACTATGACTTTAACCCATTCACAACTGGTAAAAATGAACCAGAAAATGGGGAAAATGCCGTTCTCATTTTTTTATACTTTTTGTGAAATGGCTCTGCCTTACCAGATTTCATTTGGCGGGAAAATGTATTTTTTACTAGTACTATGAATATCGATGGTTATTTCGAGTATCAACATTATAATTACTATGTTATAAACATTAGTAACAGCAAAATAAGATAACTTTAAATATTATCGTAAATTAAATAAAAGGGTAAACGGGCGAGACAGGATGTACAAGTGCAAGTGTAGCCATCTATGAATAAAAACAATTAAACAAGTAAATTCGCAGTGGGCATGTCACATATATGTGACACCCGGCGCAAATGGGTTAAGTATCAGTAAGAATAATAACAATATTGATAGATATCAATAGTATTAGAAGAAAAAAAACAATTTCCCACAATCAGCAGCAATCACATCAGGAGCCATCTGTATGTAACAAAATTCACAAAAAAATACTGGGGATAGCATATACACATACACATATACATATACATATGCAAATCTGTAGTGATTGGGTTAAGGGATAATATACTCAACATATCTATGTCTAACAACTTTCTCTTACAAAACTTTAAAAGATAAATGCAAACTGCATAATACTTACTGTTTCTCTAGATCATCTACCATACCATCAATAGCTTCTTTGGAATCCTTGTGAAGCCCAATAGCTATAGTGTTGTCCCTTCCATAGAATGCATCTTCCCCCACTGCCTCTTTTTCTCTTTCATACTCTTCTAAGTCTATCTTCCTGTTCTTTACCAAACGGTTGTACTGTCTGAAAGCCAGTGAAAAAAAAGTGAAGCAAAGTTTTGCTGTATTATTTGCCATAACTTTTTAAAGTGTTTGAGAAACCTTTCAATTTTTAAGATAACTTTTTAATGATCAACAGAATTATCCATTAGCTAACAGCTAATATAAGGTGAAGCAGTCTGCAATGCACAGCAACAAAAAAAATACATATGAGAAGTAATTTAAAGAATATTTTACAGCTACTGGTACATCAAATACCATTATAAAAAAAAAGGAAGATTTAAACATAACATATTTCCCATACCTAATTGTAGCATCTTCATAGGTAGAGAAACCTTGGTCTGGGTTCTTTTTCTTCTTTCTTCTCTCCCAACGTTCAGCCTCATCAGCTCCAACTTCCAACATCTTGAGACGGTCATAGTCTTTACCCTGGAAGAGAGAGAAAAAAGTTTTTTTTTTTTTATTTCTTCCTATATGTTTTGCAAAGACTAAATAAAATCATATCAGCTATTATAGACCCATAAACATATCCAGCTATAAAGGCAATTTTCAGTATTACATGGTAATGTTCACAGATTACAATAACTATGAGATAAAATAGAAAGGAATCAGCACATATTACTAAAAGACCTAGTATACTGCTATTCGTCTTGATTAAAGTCAGAAATGATTACAATGTATTTCTGAACTCTTCTCAGTCCATTTTCGCAACAGAAAAATGACGGTAGTCTTCTGACATTATTTATGTATCTTTTCTTTGTATTACCTCTTAAAAAAATATAATCTATCTTTTATATGCTTTTATCCCTTTAACTCAATGCCAATGGGCATGGCATATACATACATGCCATGCCCACTGAGTTTACTTGTTTATTTTTACACATGTACTATTTACCCTTTTCCTTGATTTATAATTTTATATTATCTTATTTTGCTATTACTAATGTTTATAACATTATAGTAATTATTAAGTTATATATATATTTATATATACAGTAAGTCCCCAACCTACATAATGGGGACTGAGAGGCTGTTCGGAAGTCGATTTGACCGTATGTCGAAAGTCGGGTCTCCATTGCCTTTTTTCCCATTGTTTTAAAGTTTTGTTTACATTAGGAATACCTGTACATAAATCCGAATAAGTACGTCATACCTTATACAGTACCTGTAATATGTAATGCTTTTAATATTATTTGATGGTTTATTTTTTTTATTCAAAAAGAAAATATATTGTAGTGGTGACTGGCTGGCGAACCGATTGATAAGATCGTTAAAGTTATAGCCTGATGTTTCTTGGCACTTCCACTGGTTTCACCGTTTATCTTTCTCTTCACACCAGACATTTTTGATGGATGCACAGGTAAAGCGAATTATGGCACAAAAAATGTCGGTACACAAGGACACAGTGAAGAGATGCTTTCGTGTTTATGGCGGGAGAGCAGTCGAGTGATGGCACAGCTGAGTGAGCGCGGTGGCGCCACGGCGTGGCAGACTCGTCAACTATATTCGTGCCCGAGGAATTTGAAGTTTGCTAGCATCTTTCGAATAATTTTTTTGACTTAAGTATTTAAAAAAAGTTTGTATGTATGGAATGTGCGTAAGTAGAATGTTCTTAAGTAGGGGACTATCTGTATATATATATATATATATATATGTATATATATATATATATATATATATATATATATATATATATATATATATATATACATATATATATATATATATATATATATATATATATATACATATGTATATATATATATATATACATATGTGTATATATATATATATATATATATATATATATATATATATATATATATATATATATATATATATATATATATATATATATATATATATATATATTGAATTTTCCCGCTGGGGAAAATTAATAAAAAATGGGAAAAATATTGTGCTCATTTTTTATATCCTTTTGGGGGATGTCTCTGCACATAGATGGCTCTGTTCGTGCTTAGCCAAAAAGAACTCAATTAATAGACCTTATGCCCTTAAACAATTTGAATTGGCGGGAAAATGCATTTTTTACTAGTGCCATGAATATCGATGGTTGTTATTTCTATTATAAACTTTACAATTACTTTAATGTTATAAACATTTGTAACAGCAAAATAAGATAACGTAAAATATTTTCATAAATAAAAGAAAAGGGTAAACAGGCGAGACAGGCAGCATTCGTAATTGCCTCATTGGTGACTTAGTACAATTGTAGCCATCTGTGTAAAAACAATCAAACAAGTACTCACAGTGGGCATGGCATACACGTACACGTCATTCTATGTATAAAGGTATTTCACAGAAAATATAAAACATGAGCAAAGCATTTTCCCAATTTTTTGTTCATTTTCCCCGTCGCGAATGGGTTAATATCAAACATTTGCATAAAATAAAAAATCAGAAAAAAGGTCAGTATTCTTTACCTGTGCCATAACAGCTTCTCTACGCTGCTCCTCTTCAAATTCTGCTTCTAACCGTTCTCTCTTCTTTGCATAGTTTTTGGGCATCTGTTTCTGACGATCTTCTTCAACAACTTCTTTGTGGTTCAGAGCTGCAGCCTCATTCTGATAATAAAGAAAAAATTAGATCATCAATAATATATTATCCACATTGATTGTTAACCCACGGATTTATGTTCTGTCCCCTGTAGTTTTAGGTGAATTTTGTTATATACAGATGGCTCCACATGTGCTCAGCCGGCAAGAAGTCTATCAGTAGGCCCTAGTTACCGACCCTGATTTTCCCATTCATTGAATTGGCGGGAAAATTAATACCATTTCTTTCGTTACTGTTATTATTGTTAATGAAGTTATGATTATTGAACTGTCATTAGAATATTTTTGATAATGAAATGATATAAAAAACCCTTTCCTAAAGTGAAGGAAAAGGGTAAACAGGTGAAATAGGTGATAACTGGCTAATTGGTGATTAATAACTTGTAGAGCCATCTATGTGTAAATACAATAAATAAGCATGTATCAAAGTGGGTATGGCATCTATTCTTGCCACGTGTGGCGAATGGGTTAATACATGAGTCAGAAGCAATTGAAGTTATGGCACCTAGCATCTCCAAGGTAATTTCCTATGGTAAACAGGCTTCCCAAAAGAGGATTCTTTGTATTTTCCTATATATAATATTCTGTTGCTATATTGTTTTTATTTTATTTCTCGGTGCTTTATTAAGTGAAGTAATACTAAGTATTATGATATATATCATTCTTTATTCAAATATTAAAATAATGCTTTATGAGTGACTGAAGAAATAAAATCAAGTACAGTTTTAGATACTATACATTTCTCATACTCTGTCCCTGACTGTCATTAGAAACCTATCAGTACAATACATAATGTATAAATATCAATTTTATTACTGTGTGGTGCAATGGTAGTGGTCTTGTCCAGCAATCTTGCTGACCTACATTCAATTCCCATACACTGCCAGTGGATGTTAACCCCAACCATTCCTTGCACACAGGGGGTAATTTAGAAGCAAAATGAAAAAGACAGCTTGTTGCAAGTGTAACCATTGTAACAAATGGAATATAACTAAATTGTATAATAATTATTGTATAATTGCTATTATTATAATCTTTATTACTTTCATTATTATTATTGTTTTTATTGTTAATGTTATTATTATTACTATTATGATTATTATTATTATTATAATCTTTATTACTTTCATTATTATTATTGTTATTATTGTTAATGTTGTTGTTATTATTATTATGTTATTATCATCATTATTATCATTATTATTATTATTAGCATTATCATTATTATCACTTTTATTATTATCATTATTATTATTATCCTTATTATTATCATCCTTATTATCATAATCATTATTATCATTGTCATTATTATCTTTATTATTATTATCATTATTATTATTATCATTATTATTATCATCATTATTATTATCATCATCATCATTTATATTATTATCATCATCATTATCCTTATCATCATTATTATTGTTCTTGTTGTTATTATCATTAGTAATATCATCATCATCAAAATCATACCATTATCATTATCAGCAGCATTATTATTATTGCAACTATTATTATTGTAATCATTATCATTATAATCATAATCATAATTATTATTATCATCATTATTATTATTACTACCCTTATCACTATTACTATTACTATTACCATTATTACTACCATCATTATTATTTTCTTTACACTGTTGTAATAATATATATTATCATTACCACATTCTTAGTTATTTTTGTCATAGTAGTTACAGTTACTATTGACATAATAACAGGTTAAAGGAAACATAATAATAATTAGTCCTATTATCAGGATAATAACAATCAATATTAACTTTGTTAATATGTTACTATTCTTATCATCGCCAATTCTATTATCAAGGATTCTTCAATATCATTGATATTTTTCTTTAATTATCATTATTGTCTTGTAATGCCAAGAGGTACAGAGAATGGCTAATCCATATTCTTGAAACCTCTCTTGATCATGTCCAAAATATTTTGTATTCGAAGATGCATTTTCTATTGTTGGATATGCCTGGCAGTTTTGTTACCAGGTTTGCATATACATTTAATAAAATATAAAAGTAAGTATTTTCATAATGGTAACACATTTCAATGATTATATCTAAAACATAAATAAGGAAATAAAATTTATAAAATAATAATAATAATAAATAAATAAAATTATCCCTTTACAAAAAAAAAAGTAAAGGAAAACTAAACAATATAACACCATCTTATATAATATCAAATATCAAAAAACAATCGTAATCTCTACAATCCTTACAAGAAAAGAAATCACAAGGCTAACAAAAAGTCACATCTGACTTACCCTCTTTGTGTGCAGCTTTGCTAAGCGAGCCTTAAAGTCAGCTATTTTGCTACTAGAGCTTCCAGCACTGCTCTGTAATAACATGAAATAACATCATTAGACATACTGAGACCATCATTTACTCTCAATGTTAAGAGTACAAGATTTATAAATAGAACAATTAACAAAGACAAATGATACATTGGAGTTAGCCTGATTTATTGGTTACAAAGGAATAAAACAGTAAATTTTATGAAAGTTTGATTTGGCCATTTGTACCATATGAAGAACAAAATGTAATTCTGATCTCAAGTTATTTGTATTCATCTCTCTTCTTAGAAGAAAATAATTCCAAGTTCTATTATTATCAACAAGAAATTCCAAATCAGAGTCTACTGCGAAGATCATCGTCTCATCTTCATGACAAAGGAAGGCCTCTGCTTAATGTTATCAGAAATGGCTGAAGATCAGACACAACTGCCTGATACCGCACTCGCCTCAACATCCTTTTGACAGTGTCTACTGTTGGTATTAACCCAACTGCCCCGGATTTATGTTCTGTCCCCTGTAGTTTTTGGTAAATTTTGTTACATACAGATGGCTCCACATGTGCTCGGCTGGCAAGGAGTCTATCAGAAGGCCATAGTTACCGATCCTGATTTCCCCATTCCTTAAATTGGCAGGAATATGTGTTTTTCTTATTAATAACATTGCTATCGATACTATTATAATTGTTATTGATGTTATAATTATTACATTGTCATTAAATTATTTTACACAATGAAATGGTACAAAAGACCCTTTCCTAAATGAAGGAAAAGGGTAAACAGGTGAGATTAGGTAGTTGCAGAGCCATCTTTGTGCAAATACAATAAATAAATGTATTAGAGGGGGCATGAAGGTATCGCCAAATGGGGCGGATTGTTTTAAATGAACCCAGCTGACCAACTCTAGGAAAATGTGTCGTTTAATAGTGACGGGCCGGCTGTTTGCGGGTTAGCACATTCTTCATGCTGACTCCACCTCAACAGGATATCTGTGGATGGTGGGGTTAGGTCTTTTGCCAATTTATATTTCCACAGTAAACAAATGCGCCAGGAAAAAAAAAAAAAGGGGGGGGGGGGGGGGAAATGCTGTGCCCTGTTTTCTATAATTTTTGAAGTTGTCTGCCATAGAGGGCTCTGCAGTGCATGCATTTTTTTAAATGGCAGGAAAAAACATAATTTTTCACTAGTGCTATGAAAGCGATGGTGTTATTTTTATTATAAATATTATAATATTAATTTTTTTTAACATCAGTAACAGGAAAATAAGAACATAAATATTTCGTTGATCCCAAAGAAATGGGTAAAACGGCGAGACAAGCAGTATTCATAACTAGTCATTGGTGGACTTAGTACAAGGTACATCGAGATGTAAAAACCATCAACAAGTACCTCACAATTGGCATAGGACGTACATACCCGTCATACCCGTAACCATGGGTTAATGGTGTGTGAACCATAGCACACAGTTTGCCTTCACATCTCATGGCAAAACTCTCGTTATAACCAATATGATGGAGTAGGCAACAAGCCTTGGGAGGTTTGGACTGGGATGAGGACGAGGATCCGCTCGGAACAAACTCCCTCACACAACAGAGTCCTAATGTCTCATTTTTTTATAGCTCCATTTATAATTTTCTATACTGATCACGTTTCTATGGACAAACCTGGTGTAATCATTTCCAATTAGTTATTCATTTCATTAATTATTTTTTCATATCCGCCTTTTGCGTATGTGTGCAGATGCAGAGAGAATTTCTCTACTGAATCTGCACAGGGTGTCTTTCAATTTCCAAACAGACAATTTGTGAGTGATGCAGTTCTCTTACCCTCCACATTGATGGATGATGTCCAATGTTCATTTGGCAGAAGTGGCTAATGAAAGGGCGGGGTACCTGGGGCCTTGTCTCCCCTTGTCTAGGGACAAACAAATATATAAACTACGAACCCCCGGTATGTAAAGTTAGGTTGGATCGATTTGAGCAGTTCCCATTGTGCACAATGTAACTTACTGTACTAAGTTTATTATAAATTGAATTATTTGAAACTAGGCTGCCTTTTCTGAAAACAGGCTTTTGCACATATCGTTTGCAACTTGCTTTACTTGGGAGTTAATTTATTTTGGGTTCACTGGACAAAGTTTTGGCTTATGTTTTAGATAACACCACATTAATATGTTTTCAGGGAACAACATTGGCTTTTTTTTTTTTTTATTTAATGTTCATAAGAAATCACTTTCCCACAAAGTTCCCCCCCACACATCCCCAAGGATCATTAGGTGAGGGAAAAAAAAAAATGCTTCTGTTATAAGGGAAGATTAGAGAAGAGGAACTCACTGATACCATTATGGATCAGTTTTGTGAAGGTATTTTGAATATTACATAATGATCCACATCAGGATTAACTCCAAAAAATAATAGAGCAATATGTAGTATAAGGTAGTGGCAGAGTTGGTAATAAAACCTACATGAAATGATAGAACAATATAAACAAGGACAAAGTTCTTCTATGGCAATATGTTGGGCTAAAATGCTTCCAAGGATGTTATACTTAAAAAAAAGAGAAGATCCCCGCGTCCATAGTAGAAGAGGTTTTAAAAGTGGATTACTTTCGAAACAATTTGGTATTTTTCTGCATGAAATCACTGCTTCAAGAATTTTGGCATTGTTCTTGTCAAATGACTCATTGAAAGATATGATCACCATTTTCCATAAGACACAATCGTGATTTGATAGCCCCGATAGCGAGGAGGGCACTGAAAGTATATCAGGGAGATTTGGGATAAAACAGCACCCCCGTAGTGGTTAACAAAAGACAGAACCCCAAAATACAACCGCAACACCAAACCACTGTGGTATACATTCCCTAGCTCGGGGGGCTCTGCCTCCTGGACCCCCAGGTGAATAATATATAGCAACCGTGGAAGCATTTGCACAACATTACTGCCAAGAAGAACTTTGTCTTGGGTTGTATGTTCTATCATTTCATGTAGGTTCTATTACCCAACTCTGACACTACCGTACACTACATATGTCCCAAATGATTATATTTAACAACGAATGCTGACCAAAATACTATCATCACTGAGATTAAAGAATGAAAAGAGAGAAACGAAAAGCCATAAAAAATATCACGTCTATGTCGGCAAACCCAAAACATCAAAATATCCACAGTGTACGCTCACGGGGCTAAAACCATTCCATTATTATGACTAAAAAAAAAAAATAACCTCTTCATCTGGCTACACGGAGTAGTTATCAGAACTTTATCAAGTTCATACTTATGACACTGCTAGTAGACATACACTTACATTCATAGCAAACCTGAGCCATGCAGAGGGAAAAAGTTAAAGGGCGCCAGGCGAAGCGGAGAGACACGACCACAACAACCACCCTGATGCGAAGGTCATCGGAATCCTCATTTCTTGTGCAGTTTGTGCAGTTCACCGTAAGTACTTTTTCTAATTTACAAAATAAAGAGGCATATCAAATGATTATGTTTATGCTTACTGTATTGATATAAGGATTATTGAATCGTATCTATTAAGTAACACGGAAATAAAGAATACGTTCCCTCTGAAAAAACCAACAACAAAAAAAAAAAAATATTATATTATCAAAACTCGATGTACATATCAACATGCATGATCGTGTACATATACCCTAACACACACACACACACACACACACAACACCACACACACACACACAACACAACACACCACACACACACACACCACCACACAACACACACAACACACACATACATAAATATCATCACCCATCATTCACGCAGGACGTTAGGCCTCTCCAACCTTCCAATTTTATCTTGCGTTTATGATTATATTATTATTATTTTATTATATGATTATTACTATAAGTATTAGCTTGGCCCCAAATTTCGTTATTTCTTCCACGCAATATATGACCTGCCCATTGCCATTTTTTTCTTTTGATGATCACAATCAAGCCTTCCACTTTTGTCTGTTCAGCAGTCCCACGTCGACCTCATCCGAATAATGGCTTAATTTTCAGTATCAAACCTCTCCATCCCTCTCTGGGCATTTATTGGTTTCAGCTCCAGTAATTGGCTTTCTAGCCATGTTTCTAATGCGTAGACTACTGGAGGACGCATTGGTTAAAGACTGTTCTTCTTTTTTAAACAAAATGGCAAAGGCTCCTTATTATACTCTGTGTCTCCGAAGGTGCTCCGGCCTAGCTGAAATGCTTGCTTAATTTCCTTTTGCTTGATGTGTTTGTTCTTCCGAGTTGCCTCAGGGATATATACTGTCCACTGCATGCGCTTCGCCTGATAATGTTCGAATGAACTTTACTGGTTTGAACATGATCTTAGTATTTTTTCGTGTTCATCCTAAGTCAGACTTTCAGACATTCCATTAAGTATGATTAAGTCTGCTGACATTTCATTTGAAGATTCACTGCTGAAAAGAACAAGTCTCATCGGCAAATCCTAGATTGTTTAAGCTATTCGTCTCTATCTGATACCTCTCAGACTCCATTCTAGGCTTCTGAATATGTCCTTAGGGGAAGCTGGTAAACCGTTATGGTGAGAAATGTATCACCCTGTCTAACACCTTTTTAAATGTATTTTATAGTTGTGGGAGCAGGGGTGGTTTGCGTCCCATCTTGTATGTAATCTTCCATTATTGTCAATACTTACTCTACTCCCTGTTTCGAATGATTCTAGTACTGCTGGTATTTTACAGGAGTCAAATGCCTTTCGTAATCGTGAATGACTACGCAGGGGTTGCCCATATTGGTTAATTTTTTTTCTCTTGAGGTGGAGCGTGTGGATTGTGGTATGTTGAGAATCATTGCCGAAAGCCTTCCTGTCTCTTGGTTGGTAGAGAATGCGAGTTATAATGACTTTGTGAAATAATTTGTTAACTGTATCCTTTTATCCCCTTTTTTAGGTATCAGTAATTGACACTTTCCAGGCTTTCGAATTTTCGCAACGGGCATGTCACGTACGTCCCACTGTGAGTTTCCTTGTTAATAGTTTTTTTTACACATAGATGGATACACTTGTCACTAAAACACCAATGGCCGATTACGAGTTTTGCTCTCTTATTGTGCTATTACTAACG